CAACTGGAAATTGTTTATGCCTGTCTTTTGTTTTGTTAGAGCTATGGCCTTGAATTGTTATATTTTACTTGTATAAAATGCATTTATTATCATCCTGATTATTGATTACAAATCTGTGAATATGTTCCTTAATTGACCGAGTTATAAACTTGGCTGAGGTCATGATTTAGAGTGTAGGGAACTGAATAGAGAATCCATGTGACTGTTTTAAAATTTAAAAATTAGATACTTTTTCACCTTTGGAAGTAAAAGCTCCAGTCAGGCACCCTCTGTGGGCCCTGGGCATTTGTTCCCTCACCTTCTGTAATTAAAAAGCTATACTGCCTGCTTGGCTGAACACGGATATGTTATTAAACTGGCATTTGTTCTGAAATGTTCTTTTGGGAATCAGTGAGTGGTTTTAAATGTTCTAGTTGTGTCTCGGTCACTACATTTTGTGGGATGAGCCAAGGAGCGACGATTCAGGAAACTCGTCTTGAGTATGTGTTATGTGCCAACACGTCAGCTCATTGGAATAGGTTGATAATTCACTTTCGGTATGTTGGACAGCCTTGGCAATGAACGGAAGTTTACTTAGCTCTACTCCTTATTGTGTACCTCAGAGGCAAATGCTACTTATTTCCTTTTTTTTTTTTTTTTCACTCATTGAGCCAAGCCCACTGCTTCTTGGAATGAGATTTAATTTGGTGGTTGAACTTGAGTTATGCCTTGTATCCTTTTTAGCATAGATCGATACGTTCAGTGTAATTTAATATTCTCTTCAAGATTCGTACTCACCTCTCAAAAAGTTACTATGCCAGTCTTATTTGTGCAAGGTAGGAAGAAATTCCTTTCTTTTTGGTAGATTTTTATCATAGGGTGCATGTGCTTGCTAGAGAGACAAAGAGAGAGGGAAAGTGAGAAATCACTCTCTAGGAGAGATGGCTGTGCTGCAATTCCTTCTCTCCCATTCTTCTGGGATTCTGGGCATGCGCATATATGTGCCTGGTGTGATTTTCATGCTGCCAGGTCCAGGACTCGAACCATGGTTGGCCATGTGGGAGTCCAGTGGCATAGCCACCACACTATCTGCTGGCCCTAGAAATTTCTTCATGATTTCTGAATACCAGGTGATAGAGTGATCCTGGGAAAAAAATAGTGAAACTTACTTTGAGACTTCCAGTGCTTTGATACTTTGGGAATAATTACTGTTTTTGTACTTAGAACCGGTTTAGTTTAGTGAAAATGCATTGAGTATATATTATGTGTAAGCTCTTGATCAGTTAATACCCTCAACAGTAGAGTCCCTTAATGGCCTGCCTGCATGTCAGCAGAAAATGATGGCATAATGCAATGAGCATATACAATAAAAGCCATCAGGGTGAGGCAAGAGAGTTGGGTGTTATGTAGGTGATGAAGACTAAGGATGGCTCAGATGGATAAAAGTGAGCTGTTGAAAACACCAGGCCTTTTTTTTTTTTCTAAGAGAGATTTTTGCTATAGGACGCGTGCACTTGCCAGAGAGACAGAAAGTGAGAAATCACCCCCCCAGGGGGGTTGGCCACACCACAATCCCTTCTCTTCCAGTCTCCTCCTGGGATTTTGGGCATGCACGTACATCCACCTGGTGTGTTTTAAGCAGTCAATTAAGTGGGAATCCAGTGACATAACCATTATGCCATCTGCTGGTTCCAACACCAGGTTTTTACTGTTGGAGGGCATTCCAGGCCGAGGGAATGTTACTAAGGAAGTGTAAAATGGCACATAGCTGAGTGTTGCTGGAGCATATATTTTGTGAAGGGAGTAGGAAGGGAAATAAAATAGAAAGGAATGCAGGACCTATGTCCTTAAGGGGTCTGGCATGCTATACTCGGGAATTTGGAATTGTTTCTGGTACATAGTAATCAGCTTAAAGTAACTAAAAAGATCTAAGCCAGGAGAATGAAAGGATGGAGTTTAGTTGGCTCCTACTGATAGCTGTCTGGGTTTGGCTTGGATAGGAGTAAAATTGGAGTTACAAATACTAAGTAATTAGAAAAATTGAAATGAATTCTGGGGGTGGGGACAGCTGGTGACAGGGAAGTTAAGGTGGCTAAATCCCACATGGCTGACTGTATGATTTGAATCCCAGATCCAGTGGCTTGAAAAACACGCTGGGCCTGTGTGCATGTGTACCCAAAATCCTGAGAGGAAAATAGAGAAGAAGGAATTGTGCCATGGCCATTCACCTGGGTGGTGCTTTCTCATTTTCTTTCTCTCTTCCACTGGGAAGTGCACATGCCCTATAGCAAATTTAAAAAAATAAAAATAAATAGAGAGTTTGGGAATGACCTTTATTTTGTTGAAAGAATTATTTATTTAATTTTATTAATTATTATTATTATTATCCAATTTTAGCAGAGAGAAACAGAGAGACCGAGAGGGAGAGTGCAAAAGCAAGTCACCAGATCTGAGACTAAACCATGGCTGGTCTTGTGGGAGTCCAGCGCCTTAACTGGCATTCTACCTGCCAGCTCCAAATGAGGCTTAGTTTAGAAAACTTGTTTAACTGAACTGAGATGGTGAGCTAATGAATGTAAGCATGGCAGAGGGAGTAAAGAAGGGAGGAAATATTGGAGAGGTGAAGTGTGTAATTGAGAAGACCTCAAGATTGATGGAGAAGGATGAGTAGGAGAATGGTCTGGCCTTGATTTACTGATGCATTCACCAAAAGAAGAATAAAGAAGAAATAATTGAATTCAAAGTGTTGGAAGAGTCAGAGTTCAGTTCTGAACATAGTGAAGAGGTACTACTGATGCCTGAGGGTGGAGATAGCCAGCAGGCAGTTGGGTATAAAGACAGGCCATTCAGTGGCGAGGTCTAGAGGGGAACATAGATACATAGGCACTGTGAATAGGAGAGAGTGAGAAGAGAAGAAAGCCAGAGGCAGAACTCTGAGCTACTCACCAGCGGGGGAAAGGTTTGCTGAGGAAGCAGATGCTGGGAAGAAATAGAAACTGAAGTTGGCTTAAACAAGGATGTAGGAAAATAAGATGTTGAGGAAAGAAAGAATTTCATGAAGAAGTAGGTATTAGCAGCATCTAAAACCAGAAGTCACACAAGGTATTGATTGGCTTTGGAAATTTGAGGGGTCACTTAAGTATAGCAGTTTGGGACCAAAGAGCATTTCCATTGGAATGGTAATTTGAATCCTACTTTTGCCACTTATTTTATTTTTTTAAATAATTATTTTATATAACTTTATTTATTTTTATTTGACCAGAGAGGGACAGAGAGAGAGAGAGAGGGAGAGAGAGAAAGCAAGTCACTAGGTCCGGGACTTGAACCGCAATCAGCCATGTGGGAGTTCAGCACCCTTAACCACCACACCACCTGCTGGCCTGTGCCACTTACTTTTTATTTACTTATATCTAATTTACCAGAGGGTGCACAGACTTGCTGGAGAAAGACAGTAAGAGAGAAGGTGAAAAATCACCTTCTTTAGAGATGGTCACACCACAATCCCTTCTTTTCCATTTTCCTTCTGGGATTTTTTGGCATGCATGCTCACGTATTGAGAGTATTTTTCAAGCTGTTGGGTCCAGCATATGAACCATGCAGTTAGCCATGTGTGATCCAACTGCCTTAACCACCATGCTACTTGCTGGTCCAACTTTTGCTGCTTATTTATTTTGTGATTTGAGAAAGGCATTTTACCTTTGGCTTATTTGTGAAAGAGGTGGTTGTCTTCTGAGTGGGCTTCTTTCTTTCTTTCTTTCTTTCTTTCTTTCTGTCTGTCTGTCTGTCTGTCTGTCTGTCT